ATCCTCAGCACCACATAAATAAATAAATAAATTTTAAGTTATTTTAAAAATCATCGATACAAGAAACATATTGTTAAACATTACTTTGAACTCTCTTTGGAGTGTTTGTCAGTAACCACAGATAAGAAATGTTTAGGAAAATAGCCACAGGATCAATGGTTAAAGTAATATGTCCATTGAATTTATAGTCTCTAACACCAGGAAATCATCAGTAGTTCTAAAATGAGAATTTACATGATTGAATTAAGAAAACCAACAAAATGACAGCATTGATGTGACTTATAATTTCTAGAAACATTTCCAGATATCCTATGATATATAGCTTTTGGCCAATGGAAATACAAAGTATCCCTCTCAAAACATCATCATAACTTATGATCGTTGTGCTTTGCTTTGGGTATAGTGTCCCCAAAAGTCCCTGTGTAAAAGGCTTGGTTCCCAGGGTGGCCCTCTTGGGAAATGCTGTGGACCTTTAAGAGGTGGTGCCTAGTGGGAGGTCCTTAGGTCACTGGAACTGTGTCCTCTAAAGAGATCATGGGACCCCAGCCTATATCTCTTTCCTTCCTGGCTCATGATGTGAGTGGTTTGCTCTAGCTGGTGCTCATCATCATTGCAATCTGGTGCCCTCACCAGAGCCCAAAGCAAGGGGGCCACCCAATCCTGGACAGGAACCTCCAGGACTTGAGTGAAATAAACCTTTTTTCTTTATATTAATTATCTCAGGTATTTCATTACAGTAACAAATCTGGTAAATATAAATAGGCTTCCACTAGACCCTTCTCATTAATACTTTTGTAGGTTTTCTGTAAGTCATACCTTTAAAAAAAAAAAAAGGTTTTTATCCTCCAATTTTAAATCAGCATAGCAGCTAATCTGAGGGGACAAAGCATAGGGCTTAAGAGTATGAACTCGGGCCTGGGGATATGGCTCAAGTGGTAGTGCACTCGCCTGGCATGCATGCGGCCCAGGTTGGATCCTCAGCACCACATACAAACAAAGATGTTGTGTCCGCTGAGAACTAAAAAATAAATATTAAAATTCTCTCTTATTTAAAAAAAAAAGTATGAACTCTGAAATCATTACTCAAATTTGAATACCAAGTCTGCCATGTATTAGCCATTCAATCTTGGGTGAGGTAAGCTTTTTGTACCTCAGGCCCTCCTCAACCCCTCTTCTCTCTGGTCTTCATATTGGGTTAGAACTGTGCTTGACATATAGTGCTATGTATTTAAATGAATCATTTAGAAGATAAAAAAATGACTTCAGTGAACACATGCTACTACTTTTCCAATTGCATACACAGATATTGATCCTAGATCCTTTCAACAAGAAGATAATAATATTTTACCAATATGCTACGACTAAGGAACCCTGATCTCAAGTGACCTCCTGGGCCAAACTAATTAAGCATCAATTAATTGGTGTTCTAAACAATGACATGGATTTTATTCAGTGATGACAGTTTCACATACTTGTTTCTAATAGGGCTATTTTCCTCTTATCCGTTCTCACACTAGAGTTGTTACACAACCTCTGACAAAAGCCTGCATTCCAGCCAAACAAGTCAGTCCTATGTCTGTGGATTTTACATACATGGATTCAACCTACCACAGATCCAAGATACGTGGGGGGGAGAAATGTGCTCAACATGTAGACTTTTTTTCCTTGTCTTATTCCCTAAACAACACAGTATAGTGACTATTTATGTAGCATTTACATTGTTTTGGATAGTAGAAGTAATCTAGAAATGATTTAAAGTAGAAGATATGCAAATACTTCACCAGTTTATAGTAGGGACTTGCACATCCTCAGAATTTGTATCTGTGGAGGGTCTTAGAACCAATCCTATGGGATACTAGGTATGACTGCTTTCTTGAGGTATTGTGCCATTGTGCCTATGCTATTTGGTGTAAGAAATGGTGTGGAGGAAGGTCTACAACCAGTATTTTTATTTCATTAGCTTATATATTTCTAAAGAGACATACTTTATTTTCTTTATATGTTAGAGACTTATTTTAACATAACCTAAGTCCTAAAAGTTAGGTCAAATCTCTCAACTGATGCCAGCATCTAAGACATCTGTATGTGAATGAAATTAATGACAACACTCATTAGAAAAATATTACAAATTTAGGGGCACCTTTAGTCCCACCTTCAACAGCTAACTAATTACAGTAAATGAACATTATTATAAAGAGACATTTTGGCTGAAGAAAGCCAACATCTGTCATCTATTGTAGGTAAAAGCTATTCGAAGATTTCACTGCATCTGATTTTAGAAAAAATAAAAATATGGCAGTGAAATACACTAGGAAAGCTACTGTTTGGTTATCATTGAGCTACACAACCTATAAAGCAGTGTGTTGGACCCCAGAAGAGAACACTCAGAGGCTGCTGTGGTCAAAAAGCTGGAAAAGACCTCTGAAGATAATTAACTCCTCAAACCTAAACCTTAACAGTCTTCATATGCAAAGAGCCAAAAGCTGATGGCATAGTGGGGAGAAAAAGATTTGGGGCTAAGATATAAGCTTTCTAAGATGTACTAGACAAAAGCACCTTTTAAAATGTTTCCATTCCTAATGAGCAAAAAAGACGTGAAAACAAGGCCTTTGTTCATTCTCTTAAAAAAAAAAAAAAGTCCTCATGAAGCTCAAATCATACCAAGTTTCATGAAATCAATCAAGTAAAATTTGAGTTAATCCTTCTCAAGTGCAAAACTATCTGTACCAAGATAAATTTTCCCCAAGAACTAAAACATTCATACATTAAGCTCAATATTTAAAATCTGAACGTGTATGTGTCTAGTCCATTACAAATGATTGTGTATGTACTCTCCAGCTGCCTAATTCTGATTTTCAGAAAAACGTTAACGATAGCCTTTCTTTACTCAATGGCCAGTTTTCTTTCAAGTTAAGCCTATGATAACTTCACCAAGCTCTCTGGCAACTAGTGCTTAAACCATTCCCCATTCTGATAGCTATTCCAACTTTGTGATCACAAAGGCACATAATTGGAAGTGCTGGCAGACCAGCTCTGTTGGTTCCACTAACTGTTCCAATGCTTCTTCATAGCCTCATTCTGTCCACTAAAGGACAAAGGGCTCACCATGGAGCTGGCGGAACAGCTTAGCTCTTGTTATTTTCAGAGCTTGTTTCCTTAAAACTTTTTTATTGCTCTATACTGCATGGGTAAGTAACAAAAGGCTTTTGTAGACTGGTGTCCAAAAAAACTCATTTGAGACCAAATTTATTTCACTGGTAACCCAGATGTGCTGGTTTCTTACTATAAAAGCACTGAGTTATTTTTTTTTTTCTTAAAGTTCAAGATAATATTCTCACTAATACTATGTCAACACTGCATCAATGAACAATTTAAACAGTATAATGACTCATCATTTTACTTAAAGGTATTCTTCCAACTCACCAGTTAAAACAAAAACAAACAAAAAAATTCCATCCTTACCAAGACCCTAAATTTGATACACTGTCTGCAACTCATCTTTAAAACCCCCAAACTAACAGATTAGCTACCACTTGCAAAAACATTTTTGCTGGGAAAGTGAACACAGATACTAACATTTAACATCTTGTCTAAACATGATTAGATTTGATCACAAGTACTCTAGCTATATACAATGTCTGAACTTAATTGTAAGAATTAATATACAGATTTTTTTCTAAAGTTAGGTCAGCTGCTTTGTCCAAGTATTCTGAACTATCGAACTATTCATTACAAAACAGAAAATTGATACTATGGGCTTTCCATATGCATTTCAAATAAATCCTCTATTACATGAGTAAACTTCATCATATCACTTTATTCTCAGAGATCAGCATGGTTTTTTAAAATTTGCTATAAAATAGGGTTAAGTAGTCTTATCATATCTCCATTGTGGGGAGACAAACATGGACTGAGGGTTGCTAACAAATAATGCTGTCCCAAGCACTGGTCAGGCTACATAGTTTTGGTAGGACAACTTTTTATGTGGCAAACCACTATCTGATGCACTAGAAGAGCAATTGTTTCCATTATTCCTTTGTGATTCAATGAGTCAGAACTTTCTTTATCATTAGAATTTACAACATAAGGGCTGGCGTTGTGGTTCAGTGGTAGCTTGCTTGAGCACGAGGCCCTGGGTTCAATCCTCAGCACCACATAAAAGCAAATAAAGGTATTGTGTCCAACTACAACTAAAAAAAAAAAAAAAGAATTTACAACATAACTCCAGCTACTATCTTTAGCAAAAGGCTTAAAAACAAAGACCACACACAATAGGAATTTTTAATTTTAAAGAATTTTAATACAAACTTAATATAAACTATTTCAGTCCCTCTTAACATGTAAGACACTGACTCAAAATACTTTTATACCGTTTTTTTCAAGTATTGCACAATATAGGTACAAAATTAATATTTACGATTACATTTTCTTCCATAATATATAGCAAAAATCTTTAAACCTTTAACAGAAAATACATTTTTTTGAAAAAGCAAATATTCGTACATTTTAATTCCACCACTAAAGGAATATCCTGTACACAATTTTTAGAATAGTTGATGTCTTTAAGATGGATATTTTACAATTTCAGTAAAAAAAATACAACATGAAGCTGCTGCTGTCACAGATCACTGTAGTAAAAAGATATAAATGCAATACCATGTCGTAGAAACAATATATATATCCTCTGATATTTTACAAACTTTGTACTAAATTAAATTATACAATTAGAAAAGACCAATAAACCCACTTATTAGTGCTAATTTTTTATAAAAAAAAAAAATCAGCCATGTCCTTGCTATATCTTAAATACTGTAAGAGGCCATATCTGAGAGTATACTTTAAAATATACAGTCAGTATAAAATAACTTTGTGCTTGGTTGGCAAATGAAAAATGATGCATGTTTTATTTTTGTAACCAAGCCTGAATGTATCCTTACTATAAGCTTAAAAAAAAAATCTCAAGGAGATGAAAAAAGTCCCCTTGGGCCCGTGCATTTTAACTTGTACGATACACTTTTTTTTTTTTTTTTTTAGTTAGCCATAACAGGCTGGAATTGCTGGTTAGAATACTGCATGTTATTTAAGCTAAAATTCAAGCCATCTACAAAAGACTTCTCGTTGAGGCCACCATAGGCCGCAAATACATCAAAGGCATTACTGTACTGGAGAGGACTGAGGTTAAGGGGGCTGTCACCTGGGAACATTCCATTGGTACTACTACCTTGACCCTGCATATTAGGAAAAATAAACTCCTTGGCATTAGGAGAAAGAGCAGAGGTTTTCTGCTGTTGCTGCTGCTGTGGTGGTGGCGGCGGCTGGGATGGCTGCTGCTGCTGCTGCTGCTGCTGTGGCTGCTGCTGGCTACCCAGGCCCAGCCCGTACAGAGAGTGCATTGAGGAAGAGATGGCTTTCTGCTTCAAGAGGTCATTCACATTCAGGCCGAGGTTGATAGGAGAAGTACGCGCAACCTTGTTGCTCCGGCCACTATTCTTCATTTTGGTAGAGCCGAACTTGGTGGCAGCAAAAGTGGCAGTGGTAAAGGTTAAAGGCTGAGTGGACCGGGGCATGAAGGTAGGGCTTACAGCAGCAGAGTGACCAAAGGGAGGCGATGGAGAGCTGGACACTGAAGAGGCTGGGTCACTTATGGGCATAAAAACCTGGGCCTCTGGGTTAAAGCTGTTTTTGATCTCCTTATCCAACTCACATCCATTTTCATTATTATCATCCACATAAAGCACCTTCACTGGTCCCTTTTCACCAATTTGGTAGGAAACCTCAAATGGGTCGATCCAAACACTAAGATCCTGTGGCAGATTGCCACGAACATCATCAATGTCCAAACCACTCTCTTTGGATGCTTGTTCAATCACTGGGTCCACTTTTTCCCCTATGTGTATACATCTAAACCCTGATCCTTTGTATGGCTTTTCAGGATACCAGTGCCCTTCATATTTCTTCTTAAGAAGTCTTTCAAGCTCTTCACCAAAAATGTTGACACGTCTCCTGGGAAGCTTATTGTACAAATATGAAATAATAAAATTTAGTGCTACTTGGATTTCAAGCTGCATAGCTGCTATGCCACAAAGTTAGGTTCGTTTCAACTCCTCCACACACACACCAAAAAAAAAAAAAAAGTTCAATTTGTGGCAGAGAAACAAATTCTCATTCAAAGTGCTGGTATTAGTAGGTTATCCTTCACCTTGAGTGGTCTTGTTCCTTTAAGAAAACAAAACAAAACAAAAGCAAACATGTCCAAATAAGATAAATGTAATGTAAGTCCCATGACCTTTTTTGTTTAATCCCTAGAGTAATTTCACTTTTGAAAAGATCTAATAGGCTGGAAAACCTGGAAAATATACTCAGTAGAAATAAAGGAATACACAATAAAAAACTTAAAAGTTCAAAGTCTCATGGGAAAAGGTAGATTTGCAGTTAAAACAGTATTAAAAAAAACTTATTTTCCTTTTCTGAGTAGAATATTAAGAAGAAAAACATCTCCAGTATATTTGTAAAGTGTTCTTTCTTTTCCTTTCCTCAAGTCTCACAATAATATTTGCTGGAAAGTGTAATGGACATGCCCACTCGCCCATCCACTCCCATGTATACATATGCCACTTTAAGAAGCTGGTCATTAATTTTTTTTCTGGTCATTAATTTTTATTCCTTTTCATCAATTTTGAAGTGAATCCTATATTTTTGTTCATTTTGGACATATCTTGTTTAAATCTGCTCTTTAATATTAGAAATTTAGAAATTTGAAAAGTTAGAAAAATTATTTTAATTTTTGAAGTTCATGATGCCAAATTAAAAGTACTCTATCCTAAATGAACTGTCACCCGATAAATAATTACGCCCAAGTTATTCCGTATGGTTGCGGCCTTAAAACACACTAAGAACACACAATGTAATAGTTGCACTTCTTTGTGCTTCTTTTTTTCCTTTTCAGCATGTATTTTCCCAAATCTGAAGTGCCTTTTAAACAGCAAGTATAACAAAAACAATGATCAACTTAAAAACTCTTATTGATTATTCTGTTTAAAGGGCAGGGTTTCTCAGTTTTATTCCGATTTTAAAAGCTATGTCCCTCCCTCTCTGGATAAGAAAACAGCCCAGAGAGACAAGTATGATAAGGTCGACCTTTAAACGTTTGCTGGATCAGCACTGGGTGGGGATAAGAAAAGAACAAGGGCAAACAGAAGATATTTGCAAAGGAGATCTATTTGTACGCTGAGGTTGATTAAAAAGGACATTTAAAAATCAAGTTGGTATTAATCCGTCTGTTCCATTTTCCATACTGGCGGTGACAAAGGGAAAAGAATCCCTGGCTGCCCCCAAACTACAAACACTTTCCAAGCCAAACCCGAGTGTCGGCAAAGGCAGCTGATTAGGCTCAATTGCTTGAAGGTGCAGCCGAGCGAGATTCAGGCTCGGTGGAAGATAGTTTCAAGCAACGCCTTAAGACAGGAGTGTGAAGAATTACATAAACAGCTAGTTGGGTCTCATTAGATTTCTGCTCACAGCCTTGGGAGCCCAAGCGCTACGGCAGCAGCAACAGCAAGAGGAGGTGGAGGAGGAGGAAGAGTACCAGCCTGCTGTTGGAGGGGGACCGCCACGGGAAATGGAAAGGCAACCTCTCGCGGCCGGGCAGCGGGCACCG